TGGGCTTAGATCTAATGTCCCCCGCTGCCAGCAGCCCTGTGGACCCTCTTCCACAGTCAAGTGCTACATGTGTCCCCAAGGACGTGGAGCTGGTGCAGGGCAATCTCCCTCTGATACTCTAGTCCCGGCTGCGTGCCTTTCTCCCTCCAGCCCAGATCCCCGATCCCACCGATCTCTGACCTTTCCATCCAAGGATTGTCTCACTAGCTGTGCTTAATTCTCCAATTCCAGGTGGATGTTATTTGATTCAGCTTTTCTTCTATCTGCTCCGTAAGAAGGCGCTGGACCCATCCGCCTATTTGGGCACCAGTTTGTCTCCCCCTGGACAACCTTTTTAGGAGCCGTGGCTGGGGAGACTGGAGTCTCGGTGTTTGTGGTTCACAGCCCAGGCAGCAGGTCCCTGGCCGGTGTGGCTGCAGGGTCCTGGGTGGTGTCTGAGGGCTCCCCGGTGGAGTTGAGGCTTGGCTTCCCTTCAAGATGGTGCAGTTTCTGCGGCAGAGGTGGCCATCCCGGGGGAGATTGCAGCGGTAGTAGAGGCTGCCTGGCTAGGGAAGCCTGGTCGGCCCGCCCCCAACAGTCCTGTGGAATATAACTGTCCCTCACACACACACCCATGTCCACACGTCCACACTCACTCCCCTTTCCCTCCCTCCCTCACTCACACTCCTCGCTGCCATCCTGTCCACCGCCATCTTGTATCTCCTCCATCCTGTGAAATTTTATTTCATATATTGCATTTTCATTTCTAAAATGCTCACTTTTTTTTTATAGCTTCCATTTCTTTGCTAAGAATGTCTATCTTTACATTCATTTCAATACTGTTCACACTTACTTTATGGAACACAGCTATAAAAGTTACTTTAAATATTTGTCTGATAATTTCAAAATTTGTGTCAACTAAGGGTTGTCTTTTGTTGATCATGTTTTTCTTTGCTTCTTGCCAAGATTCTCCTGGTTAGTTCTGTCATGTAATTTTGTCCTGAGCATTTTAATATTATTTTATGAGATTTAAGTCTAAAAACGTTGGAAAATGTTGATTTTTTTGCTTTGTCTTACTTTAGTTGCAAACTGTAATTTCTGACTGATATTTTCAAGTTTTGCCCCAATCCAATGTCAGTTTTATTTTCAAAGTCTTTGCAGAGCTCTTTGCATTTGCCTTATGTGTATGTTCCCCAAGGGAAAACTGGGGCCTGGGTAGTGAGCTACCCCACACTTCTATCCTCAAAGCCTTTGGTATTTTATTTCTGACCAGCTTCATACATGCACATCTTGTAGGTAAATCTAAGGCTTGAAACACAACTGTATGGGGTTGCTTTCTTGAGCTCCTTTTTCTCTGCCATCCCTATGACACTCTTCACCTCTCTAGGGCTACTCATCCTGGTCCTCTGGCCACAACGTTGGAGTTTCCAGCTCCGCATTGTCACTCACCTCCTGCAACTGGCTCTGCCTCTGGGGTGAGGTGTAAATTCTGAATGCCAGTGCCAGGTGTGAGTACAGCATTGGGACTGAGTGTGTTTCCAGGGGATGATTGGAAGAAAAAATCAGGAATTCACCAGCATTATTTTATCTTTTTTATTTTTTAATTGATTTCAGAGAGGAAGGGAGAGGGAGAGAGAGATAGAAACTCAGTGCTGAGAGAGAATCATTGATCAGCTGCCCCCTGCACACGTAAAACTGGAGATGGAACCCGAAACCCAGGCATGTGCCCTTCAGGGAATCGAACTGTGACCTCCTGGTTCATAAGTAGACACTCAGCCTCTGAGCCATGCCAGGCGGGGCACCATCATTCTTTCTGTTCCTCTGGGGTGAGCCTAACAAGCGCTCTGATTAGAGATATAGAGTATCTCTTGGTCACACCTGCTGGGAAGTTCTGGAATTAAGATTAAACTGAGTCTAAGACTAGATATATGGGAGAAAACAAAATAAAACAATGGCCATATTAGTTTCATTTTTGTTTTTATTTCTTTATACTTTTTCAGAATTCTTAAATAGTTACACAGATAGGGTGTTGTGTCCTTTCTTCTTCTAACTGGAACCAGAACTATTCACCTGGCTGAGTTCGTTTCCTTGCAGTAGCATGTTGCAGTCTCTGAATATAGCCATGCACTTTAATTCAGCTTTGTGACCCTGAAAACCTAGTACCCTGTTTAGCATGTGATCTCTGTGGATTAGTATTTGGTAGTTTGAATTACTCCAATCCTTGACAAACAGCTCTTCCTATAAACTGTGTCTTATAAACTAAAACCTCTGTCTGTAAATAATTTCATAGATGCAAATTTCAGTGTCCTATGTTTTTTTTTGTTGTTGTTGTTTTGTTTTGTTTTTTTGAGACTATATCTTCTTATATTTCAGGGAACTAGATTCCTGGGGCTCCAGAAGAATGAAGCAGTGTCCCTGTGCTTGGGCCTGGGTTGCATGCCATGGATATCATGCAGACATTTTACATTTATGACATGATATTTTCTGAAGAAATATTTGGGGTCTCTATCACTTATTTGACGAGAAGGATGATGAAATCTCATATCCTAATTTTCCCCATCCACATGGTCTTATGCTGCCACAAACACATATGGGGTAGGTCTCTGTGCAACTTAAAGATATAGAATGAGACTGGATATTATTCTTTTTTTTAAAAAAAGTATCTTAAGATTTGGGGAAAAGAGAAAACAATGAAACTTTAATGAGGTCTATGCATAGGTATAAGAACACTTACTGTAATGTTTTATAATTCCTCTATATTCTTCTGAGCTGAGAGAAAAATTATAATCACTTTAATTAATTGGCTAGAAGAAAAGTTGTCACTGATAGACATTATCTACAAATTTGAAAAACTCAGCATATGATTTTTCTGTAAGTATAACTAGTATTTTGTTCATGAGACATTTACAGACCAGTATAGGATATAAACAGATAAACACAAAGAAAAACAAATAAAATTGCATTAACAATAAATCATATATATGACGAGAAATTAATTGTATCTGGGATATTCAGGTAATGTTTTAGCACAACTTAAAGTATGAATAAGTTTGCTGTCAAAAGAAAAAAGGGCAAGGCATCCCCAGAAAAGGACACAATATGCAAAAGGTCCAGAGGCCAGACCGCAGGCTGTGTTTGGGGAACCACCAGCCCTTGAAAGTTTCTGCTTGGTGAAGTTTGAGGGAGAAAATGATAAGGAGGGGTATCATCTGGTGGTGGAAAAGGGCGGCATTTCTAAAATAAGTAAAAGACTTGGTGTTTATTCTCCAGACTTGGAGCTTTTGGGAAGTTTAATCAGATCTGCATTTTTAAAAGCTGTCTCTGGTCAGAGCATAGTCTATTGATCTGAGAGCACTGAGACTGGGGAAAGTGGCCCAGCTGTGTGATGATGAAAAGTGGAGTTAAGTCAATGGCAGGGGGATGGAGAAGCAAGGGCCAATGAGAAACTGTGGACAGACGCCCTGGAAGGGTGTGGAGACTGCACGTGTGAGATGATGACCCCAAGGCTCTGACTGGGTGCTTGGGTGCATGTGGGCTCCACACAGGGAGAAAGAAATCCACGAAGAAGAGATGTTTGAGTAGGGTAAGTAACATGGTGAATTCTACTTTGAACAGGAAGTATTTGAGATGTCTGTGGAAGTTCACAGTGGAAATGAAACTGCCTGGTAGAAGATTTAAAGTGGGAATTTAAGGAATATTGTAGTGTAGGCGGTTGTTAAAACCAAAAAGACAAATGCGATGTCCTCGTGAGGTAGGCTATTTACAAGAAAAAAGGCCAGTGACAGAATCCTGTGTGAGGCTGAGAGAGAAGGGACTGTAGCAAAGGAGAACCCTCGGCATAGAATGGAGGACGGAAAACCAGGGAAAGGGCCGGAAAACGGTGGTGGTGTGGAGTGTAAAGGAGGAGAGCTGTGAGAACTGCAGGGTGGGGAAGGAAAGGTAACAAAATTAAAACCCCGTTAAAGGCCAGGGGCCCAGCAGGCAGACACTGAAAGGTCTGGTCATCTGATCATGTCTGGTTGAGAGGAGGTTTATGACATTGCATGGCATGGTGTGCAAAAGATTTTACAGATTCAGCATGAGAGTTAAAGAAGCAGACAGGAACGTGCTGGTCCTTAGGAAGGCTTCAGTGAGGAGGCAGGAGAGAGCAGGGCTCCCACTGACACCACCTGGTTCAGCGAGTTACCTTAGCACAGGCTATGGCACAGACTTCCCCTTCCACTCTCCCAACCCTAATCCTTCTAAAAGGCCTTCTTAGGTAATATTCCTGAGAATACATTCCAATTCTTTTTTTTTTTTAATATATTTTATTGATTTTTTACAGAGAGGAAGGGAGAGAGATAGAGAGTCAGAAACATCAATGAGAGAGAAACATCGATCAGCTGCCTCCTGCACATCTCCCACTGGGGATATGCCCGCAACCCAGGCGCATGCCCCTGACCAGAATCGAACCCGGGACTCTTCAGTCCGCAGGCCGACGCTCCATCCACTGAGCCAAACCGGTTTCGGCTACATTCCACTTCTTTAGACTGCTGATACCTTCTCCCTCCCTGAACAATGAGGTCATCAGAGGCCCCTTCCTATTCTCTGATCAGCTGGCACCAGCACCTCCTCCCTCTGCACCCGCATTGTGCCATTCCCTCCATGGGCCTTTCTAGGACGTCCTGACAACCTGTCCCCTGCAACTTCCTCTTTCTTTTCTCCAGAGCTGAGAAGGACTCACTTCACAGCCCTTATTTAATCCTGCCCTGAACAGGAATTTCCAGAGTATTAATTAGAAGTTAAATGAATCAACATCAAATCCACTCCATTTTGCAGTCAGCTCTGCCATAATGAAACACACACTTCAGAAAGTAATTGATGCACAAAATTGTGTAACAAATACCACAGGGCTGTGGGAGAAGTGAGATCAGGGAATCAATGATCAAAACCTTTGCCTATGACACAGAAGAAAGCAAAGATCTAAAATACATGCGAGAACCATTTTGTATTTGTTCAATGGTCAAGACATACAAAAATACCACAAGAAGTACAGCACTGTGGCTTGAAAAAACTGGCCACATTGGACGTGATGCCTGAGAGGCGTAGCTGAGTTATTGAGGTGGAGTTGAGGGTAGAAGGAGGTGGCTGAAAATCAGATGAAAAGTTGTAACAGGATGTGGACCCATTGGGGTGGACAGAGGTCACCGGTGGGCATCTGATGTTTGTGTGTGTGCGCACTGTGTGTGCTCTGAGGTGCCTCCTTCCAGCCCGAGCAGTTTCCTGTGCTCACTAGTGTTTCTAGACCACAAAGTCAAGTAGAAGCAAAGGTGAAATTTGCATTATGCTAAATTCCCTGATATATCAATCACATTGAAACCAATTTATGTTTTCAAAGCTTTAGTTATAGCAGAATTGAGTAATGTTTCTGGCCTATACTACCACCCTAGTTACTAATGTCCTGCGTTGCTCCCTGATGGCCCTTTCGTCTTATGTGTATTTTTATCTACCACGTCGCTATCTTGATTATCTATCTGCTATCTGAACTTACTGTGTGTCTCTGACCTTCTGTTCTGTGCCTGGACACCCATATTTACTGTCTATTGTAGCCTGAAAATATTATCTCCACCCCGAGGGCCTGCTCTTTCTCACTGGCTCTCTTTGTGAGAAGACCATTTGTCTAGAGCAGTGGTCAGCAAACCGTGGCTCGCGAGCCACATGAGGCTCTTTGGCACCTTGAGTGTGGCTCTTCCACAAAATACCACTTGCAGGCGCACATGTACAGTGCGAAGTTTACTTAAAACTTTAAGTAAAGTGTATTAAGTTAATTTTAGGAAAGGTTGTGGAGTGAAAGAAGATGTAGTGTTGAGGATTGAGAAAGGTATGTTGAGATGGTTTGGACATACGGAGAGGATGAACGAAAGGAGATAGACGAAACAAGTATACAAGACGAGTGTGGATGGGAGAGTTGGAAGGGGTCCACCTCAGCGAACTTGCCTCAATCAGACGTTTTTAGCAAAGGCCAGCTCAGGAGTACCCTAATTAAGTTAATAACAACGTACCTAGCTATATAGTTTAAGTTTAAAAAATTTGGCTCTCAAAAGAAATTTCAATTGTTATACTGTTGATATTTGGCTCTGTTGACTAATGAGTTTGCCAACCACTGGTCTAGAGCATGGCTCTCAATATTGGCTGCACTTTACAATCAGCTAGGGGCTTTGAATGATTCTAGTGCTCACTCCTCGTCCCAGACCCATTATTCAGAATCTCTGAGGATGAGGTTTAAGATCAGGATTTTTAAAGCTCTTCTGGTATTCTAATGTGCAGTCAGGTGGGAGAATCACTGGGCTAGAGTGAGACTTCTCAGGCACTTACGTACATAAGGATCACCTGGGGATTGGCAGAAACTACACAGTGCCTTTTATTACTTCTGGGATGGGGCCTGACTTCTACATTTTGTACAAACTCCCAGGTGTTGCTGTTGCTGCTGCTGGTGGTGGTCTAAGGGCTGCACTTTGAAGAACAGGGGCTACTAGGCAATCATGCAATGTCTTTCACCTTATTTATCCTCAGGGTGCCATGTTTTATCTGCCTTAGAGGGTCTCTCCCCTGGGACCGCAGCAGGGGAATGTGACTGTGAACCAAGACCTAACTTCTCCGGTGAGGTCCTGCAGCTGGTGGGGTGCTTACCCTAGATACCCTGTGCTCATTTGGTCTTCAATTCAGGTGACAGGACTCATTCTCAGAAACACTGCCCAGGGAGGTGAGCTTATTCTTGAAAGCCAATGAGAGCACAGGAGCGAAATGTCCTACATTTTGGATGTAGAAAGTCAGTTAAAAATCAGTACCTTTTCCTGTCACATACTATGGTCATGAAGATGGTTATAGAATGTACCTGTGTAGGTAAAGCTACTTTGGTATTTTCTCTGGTTCTGAACAAAAATCAACAGTGAGCTCTTTCTCTTTGTTTTGGACAAAGGGCAGAATTGCACTCTGCCGTTCAGAGGCTTTAACCGGACCCCAGGCTTCTTATATGACTGGCCCCGCCTCTGTCTTTGGAATTGTCTTTAAAATAATCCTTTTCCTCCAGCTGCTCATGACTGAAGTTGGGGCACAGGCCTACACTGACCAGGACCTGCCTCAGGGGAAGCTCAGAGCAGCAGCTCCTTCATGCTCTCCATGCTGCTGTGTGCATCTGCCTTCAAACTTCAAAGTGTGTTGTACTTAGGACGGGAAAGCCGCTTGGAGCTCTCACTCTCTCATGCTTCTGGATTCCAAAAATTTAATCCTGGGGTATTATGACCCTAGGAATTATGTAACTTCAGTCCCAGTGAGACCTTCTGGTCATCCTTGATGTACACACAATGAATGACACGTGTCACCTTGAGCATCCTGAGACGGGCTTTGCATCTGCACCAGTGGCTGCTGCTTAGCAACTCCAAGTGGGAGGTGAAAATCAATTGTAAACAGCCCCATTTACTCCCAGGTTTCATTCTATCAAGTGTTAACAGAGTAAGGGAAAAAACTGTATTTTTATAGATCACCAGTGTACTAGTTGAGATAGATTTTAGGTACATTGACATTTATCAAGGTAGTGAGGTCTAGACTTACACAGCAACTCCTATGGGCAGTGTCTGTCTGTGCTAACAAGAAAATAAGTAGGCACCTAAAAGTTTGGAGAGAACTCTAAGCAATGCTTTAGGAACTCAGCTGCCCTCCCACCAATGCCCTCAGAGTTGGAGACATGACTGGGAGTAGTTAGAAGTAGTCTAACTACTAACGAGAAAAAGAGACCAGAATCTGAGACTTGGTCAAGTGCAGTTCTGAGCATTAGCTGTTAGATGTCAAGTATGACAAATTGTGCTTATCCAAGTGCCAGGAGAGAGCCTAGGAAACTGCCACTGCACAACCTCACAGTGGCATATGGAGGTTCCCTGGTGTCAGGGGGAGGGGGACGGATGCCTCTTGCTTTGCAAGTGCAGGAGCCTAGGAGGATCGTAGGTTTGGAAACTGTCAGTTGCTGAGTTGACAAGATGACAGCCATCTTTGCAGCAAACATTGTAGCTAGTTCAGCGACTACTCTGAAGCTACATTCGGGTTTCTTCACCTCCTATCTGTGTCATTTTGAGTATTTCTTTAACCTTTTGATCCTTGGATACTTGTCTGTAACAGGGGATTATTAAGGGAGTATTTAATAAGTTAAAAATGTGTGAAGGGTATAACACAGAGTCTGGCATGGAGCAATTGCTTAATACATACTAGTGGTTGTTTTTGTTATTGTTTAGTTATTTTTTATAAAGGATAAATGCTAGCTACTATTGGCTATTATGGGCAATGAATTATTATGTTCCTTCATAAAATAAAACCCTAAACCTCCAAACTTACTAGTGAAAGAGACTCTCCCCTCAGGAAGGGACAGCTGAATGATGGGAGTGACTCTGCCCTGACATTCCTTGCCACTGAGCTCACCTCTTCCTTCACTTTCACCCCTGGCAGGAGTAGAATAAGGATATTGCTTGTACCTTCAATACCTGAGCCAAGAGTAAATACAAAAGCTTTCTGATTCCTCTTAGCAGAGACAGTATAACTTGTGAAAATGTCACCACAGGAATAACAAAGGGGAAATTAAGAGAAAAACCAAGAAATAAAAAAAAATTATCTTAAAAGTCTAATATTCTCTTTGCAGCTCCTAAGTCTTGCCATTCATGAGCTATCATAAACAGAGGTCTTTCTGCTGAGGTTCCTCATTTCTGGCCTGTCTTTCCCTTTAACCCTTATCTCCCCAGTCTCTTCCTACATGTCTAGACAATCTCTCCCACCCCTTGGGGCTTTCTCTCCAATCCCCTCTTTTTATTCTGTGTTATTTCTCTGTGTCAGTGACCTCTGCTGCAGTGATATGATGCAATTCCACTGTGCACCACAAAATAAATGTATCATATACTAGCACAACACCAAAGCCATGGAGGTTATAACACCAGGATTAACAGGCACAATAGCCATGTTGTTTCCTCATAGACGCCCACTGGCTTTTTTTTTAGATAATTTTCTAAATTGCTTGCTAAGAAAATAGTTGTTATAATGTACTAGAGGCCTAGTGCACAAAATTCATGCACAAGGGTGGGGGGGGGTCCCCTCAGCCCAGCCTGTACCCTCTCCAATCCTTGACCCCTTGGGGGATATCTGATTGCCGGTTTAGGCCTGATCCCAGGGATCGGGCCTTTACTGGCAGTTAGACATCCCTCTCACAATCCTGGACTTCTGGTTCCTAATTGCTCACCTGTGTGCCAGCCTAATCTCCTCTAACTGACCCCTCCTCCCCGCCGGCCTGGTCGCCTCTTACTGCCCCTCCCCCCCGCCGGCCTGGTCACCCCCAACTGCCTCCCCTGCCAACCTGGTCCCCCCATGCAGCCTGCTTGTTCAGTCGTTTGGTTGTCCCTCACTAACGCTCCTGCCAGCCTGGTTTTAGGCAGTCATCTTGTGAGGTCATGAGAGTTAATTGCATATTACCTCTTTATTATATAGGATATTTTTATTCACAGTTACAAATTTAGATTCTAATTATGAGAAATAAATTTATTTTTACAGAAGTATGTAGCCATTTCATCTGCATTCATGGTATGGTCCAGATCTACTTTGGCCCTGCCATCCTGCCCATCATGCACCCACTCTGTGTGTGACGTTTTAAGTTCTCTGATTGGCAGACTTTGTCATGAAGTAAACTTCTTGTTGAAACAGATCAGAATTTATTTAGGCCTATATTATGCTTATTACTAGCTGATCCAGTAGTTATGGAGCATCTACTGTGTCAGACATTGTGGAAGTGAGTAATGAAGATTAAGTGGACATTGGTCATCTGTGGCTGTTCATGCCATTTGCACAGTGCCTGTGCCTTTAATAATTTCTACTTCCCCTATGTAGAAACTTCTGTAATAACAAGGAATTTTAAATATGTTTTCCAGCCTTCCTCTAAGCACATACCTCTTTTCAATTTTCCTGGGAAGAGTTGGGGGCTTACTCTTCCCACAAACATGGTATTTCCCATGTCTCTCTTCCAGGGGCACTGCAGTGAAGCCTCGGAGACCCAGTCCTGAGAGAACTCAGTCGGTAGTGATTCTGGAGCTCTTTAGGCTTCTGATACCCAAAGTCTCATTACCCTGGGGCTCAGGGCTTCCTCCATCAAGATCCTTAGTTATTTTCCACTGTAATCCAGTGAATCCTTCACATCTTCAAAATGCTCCTCTATTAAACTTTTGATCCCTGGTTTTCTTTTAAAGACTCTACATTCTTGCCATAACCGGTTTGGCTCAGTGGATAGAGCGTCAGCCTGTGGACTGAGGAGTCCCGGGTTCGATTCCGGTCAAGGGCATGTACCTTGGTTGCAGGCACATCCCTGGTGGGGGGTGTGCAGGAGGTGGCTGGTCAATGTTTCTAACTCTCTATCCCTCTCCCTTTCTCTCTGCAAAAAAAAAATCAATAAAAATATTTTTTAAAAAAGACTCTACATTCTTTTTGTTTTCTAGATTGGAACGTCGCTATTAACCCACACAAAGTCTACAGAACCCATTATCATCATTTTACCATCTATAGCTACTTTTAAACATTATTCTCCCTCATCAAAACCTTTTTGTTGACAGTCAAAACCTTATTCTTATCATCCCCTCCTCTTGTTCCTATAATTGGCATAACTTTCTGTAACTCTCCTATTTCATTGAAGACTTTTGAATGGGACTATCAACCTCTCTCTAACACTCTAATTTTTGCCTTCATCTTAACTTTCACTTTACTCAATTTTAGCCTCCCACTCCCAAACCTATATTCTATATTTTTAATGGCTCAGAGCTTTGGCACAGATTTTTAGCCTAGTCCTTTACACTGGAACAGTGTATGGCCAAATTGTTTGTCCAGATGTCAACCCTTCCTGCCATCTGTCTGGGAACAATTATTCTGCTTGGAGGTTGCAAACACTGTGCGAGCTTAAATAAATTCAAGTAACATCTCCAAAATAATCAACTTCCACATTATATTTGAAGATGTGAATAATATTTATTATAAATAAAATAGGCTCATTTTTACAAGTAGTTTTTAGAGAAAAAAAATTTCTTAAGGCCTGTCAAAATTTATGTATCATAATTTTCTTCTTATTTACATACTGGTTTTGTACTCTGTAGAGAATAAAAAACACAAATAAAACCAAATATGTATGTTCTTATTCTGCCTATCACATCTGGGATGAGCAAATATCTAAGTGAATTACTATATGCTGAAAGGTTATATTCTACATGTCCACATTTTGAAGGCAATTTAAAGCATGTTTTTATAGCATAAATATTCATGTCTACCAAAAGAGTTCCTCTGGAGAGAGAGAGAGTGTATATGTTTGTCTGTATACTGTATTCTAAAAAAAAAAAAAAATACACCCTGCAGAACAAATCACATTTTGGAAAGAATCTCTTTTGCATGCCCCAGAGAAGTAACAAAGAAGGCTGGCCTCTTCCTGAGCAATGTGCCTTCTTGTTCCTGGGCTCCCTTAATGTAATATGCTACTTTGAGCTAATGCAGCCTTATTTTCACTCAGTCCTGCTCTTCTGCCCACCTCCTTATGGGCAACAGTCACAGAGGGACTTTGGCTTCAGCCTTGAGAAGTTACACAGGAAGAGGAATGGGTTTGTTTGATGGCTCTACTGTTTATTCGTCTGTTCCTAGGCAGGGCTTCAGCTTTTGTAAGTGATGAGCTTATTAAGGGTCTGCTTTTTCAAAGTCTCTGAAGAAATGCTTTCTGTCCCTTTACCATTCTGCACTCAGTATGTAACCATAAAGCAGTCTCTATTGAGCCAAGCTTCTAGTTGTGTCCAGCTGTTTTCTACTTTTTAGCCTACACATCAGTTATAGTTGGTGAAGGTGCCCAAAATAAGTAAAATAAATGGAGGCTGTTGGTACAGTATGTAATTCACACAGTTCCTTCTTCTTCCTATGTATTTTTGGAACAGTTTGAGAAGGATGATTATTAATTCTTCTTTAAATGTTTGGTAGAATTCACTGGTAAAGGCGTCTGATCCTGAACTTTTTGTTGAGTGACTTTTATTATTGATTCAATCTCCTTACCAGTAATCAGTCTGCTCAGAATTTCTCTTTTTTTCATGATTCAGTCTTGGTAAGTTGTATATTTTTAGAATTTTACCCATTTTTCCTAGGTTGTCCAAATTTGCTGGCATACAAATGGTCATACTAGTTTCTTAGGATCTTTTGTATTTTGAGTCTTCTTTCTTTTTTGTTCCTTGTGGGTCTCATTAAAGGTTTGTCAAATTTGTTTCTCTTTTCCAAAATTATGTTATTAGCTTTATTGATTTTTTTTGTCTCTTTCATTTATTTATATTTTTATCATTGTTTATTCTTTCTTCTACTATCTTTGACTTTTTTGTCCTTCTTTTTCTAATCCCTTGAAGCATAAAGCTGGGCTGTTTATTTGGGACATTTTTCTTATTTCTTGCAGTAGCTATTTATCTCTATGTACTTCCCTCTTAACATTGCTTTTGCTGCATTTCATAAGTTTTGGTATGTTGTAATGCATTTTTACTTGTCTCAAGGTTTTATTTGATTTCTCTTGATTTTTTTTCTTTGATCCACTGGTTGGTTAGTATCATATTGTTTAATCTCTGCATATTTGTTAAATTGATTTGTAGTTTCATATAATTGTAGTTGATAAAGATGTTTGATATAATTTTAATCTTCTTAAATCTATTAAGACTTGTTTTGTGTCCTAACATATGATCTATCCTGGAGAATATTCTTTGTGTACTTGAGAAGAACATATATTCTGTTGCTGTTGGACAGAATGCTCTGTGTATGTCTCTCAAATCCAGCTGGTCTGATGTGTCATTTAAGGCCAATATTTTTCCTGATTATCTGTCTGAAGATCCCTTCATTGTGAAAGTGGGGTATTACAATCCCCCACTACTATCAAATTGCTCTTTATTTCTCTGTGGGAACCCTAATCAGAGTACGCCAATTTGAGCATGGGGGCCCTGACCAGAGTAGCTGGATGTT